AGAGTAACATGCTTCGTGTTGTACCTCTGTTGATTCCAGTTAAAGATTACCACAGATGCCTTTGTAAACCCTCTAATATTGCTAAAATAATCTCGAGTAGCGTGCATTTTATACCTCGATCATTCCTTCAGCGTTACATAGCATTGCTTACATTCCTCGTGCAGAAAAAAAAACAACAACATAATAATCAGTGCACATTTTACACAGGAAGGTACTTTTTTCTGGGGGCGGAAGTAGGATCGGTGTCTGTGTGTGGGGGTGATGTGGTGATGGGGGAAGGGGAAGGAAGGGAAATAAGGGTCATTGAGTTAACTATGTGAACGAAGTTAAGATATTGACTGACTAAGATGGCCTAAATGTAATTTACTCGCTGGTTTACTTTAGTTATTCAGTTTTTTTTACCAAATTAGTTTATGTCATAGTCAAGTAAAATACGAACATGTATGTCATCACATTATCGTGGCCGAAATAACATATTTACAAAATACAGAAGAAATATAAGGTATATAGTGAAATGGCTTCCCGGCCAATAACACCCATCCCTCCACTCCCCACCCCACACCCCAAAAACAGTGAATCTCTTACAATCATAACTAAATAGATAACATATATAATATTTATTTAGCTTCGTCCTTTTTTACTACCTATGAATATATTGAACATTGATTTATTGATTAAATGTAAACAGCCAACCGTGACATTGTTTATGTCATTGGGGCGGGGGGGGGGGTAACATAATAAGATAATAAGATTTACAAATTCTAAAGCAACAAAAGCCCTTCTTTCTTTTTTACTTATCATGATAATAATTTTATACCATTGAAATGAGAAGAGAAAAGTGGATTTAGTTGATGTTCGCAGATATATTTTTTGTACATCTTACATTTATCCTGATAGTATAGTATTGTTCATTCAAAATATATAAGAAATGACATGACAGTTATAAATATTCTGCTTAAAATAAAAAAAAAAAAAAATATAATTCCATAATAACTTAATGACAAAAATATGTTTGTATATTTTTTCTAAACCATTGCTAACGGTGAAATAGCAGCATAATATTTATTCAAAAACGTTTTATTCTTTTTACTTACAATAACATAGACACATGTCCACTTTATGTTTATGAAATCTTTCGAGAATCGACCAAAAAATTATGAAAAGAATGCAATTTTATCATAATGAAATTCATTTAAAAAGTTGATTATAAACAATTACTGCTTGAATTACTTGAGATACTTCGCTACTGGGTTCCTCTTTATTCACGGTACTGTTAACGCTTTGATACAAGCAAAAAAATGAACTTACGGTACAAAAAAGTGTCATAAGCTGTAACATGTAGGTATTTTTTTTATGTATGACATAAGGTAACAACAACATATTCAATCAATATCAGATTTAATTGTCAAGACGGAGATCATAGGTTGGCCATTTCGAAAACAATATGTCATCATTTAAATCGCGAAACAGTGTAACACTCTAGTTTTTACATGTTTCAGTTAAAATTACTAAATATCAATTTCAGATATTAAAACTATCTTTACTTTGTAACTCAAACTCTCTGTAACTTTACTTTCAACAAACAAGAACATTACGAAAATAATGATTGCTTCATATTTATGCACACATGTGAATGAACTACATGTTTTGTGGCATTTTGCAGAAATTAGTAAAATGATGTTCTGTTTTACGTAAAAATCTACAGATTTAAACATATTTCGCACAAAAACTTTATTGTCTAGGTTTACGACTAAAATATGCCAATGTCAGACCAATTTTAACACTAGTCAATTGGAAATATGCCTTTACCGTGAAATAAATGATGACGCGTTTATTATAACTTTCTGACCTTTGAAAATTGTTAAATGAAGGAAAACTGGAATGAATGTCATTTTTTTCATGCAGACTTTGCACATTTCATAATTCTCAGCATATTACCTATTGCAACATCAGCCGTTTCTTAGAATAGGTGTTAATTGTTAGAGGAAGCACACTGATTGTCATTATTAGGCAGACGATAAAAAACACAAACGCAGACGATAATACCTGGAGAGATCTCTACATGCTCTCCACGTGAATTTTATCGTCTGCAGCCTCATGATTTTCACGTGCTGACGTTTTTCATGATTTTGATAAATATCAGAATCCTTATGACCTAAATTAGATACAAATTATTGATTTTTATCGATTATTGATTTTTATCAAATAATATGCACTGATTATATCACTCACAGATCTGTTTATCACATCAGATATTTCACTTAGAACATATGCGTCCTAGAGTATATGCATTGTTACACATATGTTAGCGTTACGGAAGTAATTGTGGCCAGATATGGTTTGAGAAGATACAGAAAATATCAGCGGACAAATGTCCTAGGGGGAAATTGTTCTACAATCGGAATTTCGCCATAGTTTACAATATGTATCACAAGAAGAGTGTATTTACTCTAACAGAAATTTTATCCTTGGTGATGATTACTTTTAGAACACATGTTTTCAACATTAAAATGAAATGTAAACATTTAGGCTGTTCATCCTGCACCCTTATAAAAACTTTTTTTTCAAAGCTAAAACTCACGTCCCGTACAAAGATACAGGAAAAAAAGTATGCGCATTGATAAGTCTATCGTTTTGCTTATTCATGAAATTACATTATAACTTTTAGCAGACGGTAAATTTTATATACAATTATGAACGTATATTTTCTTCTGTTAGATCTATATAAAAGTTTGATTATTTTATAAATGCTCATTTATATACACGTTTACACTTTAGTAAAATGAAAATAATATTTATAATATGAACTGTATAGTTTTACACGATATAATATATAGAGATATAAATTTGTACATCTGGAAGTTTCTCTCTTTTTTGTATCAAACGTGTGAGAACAGAACTGAACAGAACAGATACATTTACAATATTTTTGACTTGTACAATTTTACATAAAAAAACAATTTTACAATACATACTAACATAAATCACAAGATCAGATCTAACCATGTCAAATCAATATAGAGGATGAATTTATTAATATATTAAATTGTAGCTACTATATCTTAGAGAATTCTATGAGACATCGCATCTTTTACATACAATGATAAATTTTAAAGTATACTTTCAGCATATCAGTGAATTTAAACATACTAGGTCTGGTGTAATAGTATCTTTATATTTTTTATTATATCAGTATAACAAGAAAAAAAGATGAAATGATATTCATCTTCTATGTCGTGAAGATTGCAATACAAACAGTATCATAGGGCCAGAATGTTAAATGTTTGCAATTCTCCCATAGTATTCCGGTGTATAGATACTTATGATTTGCATTATAGAAGTGATTACTTTTATATGTCAAATCATAGTTTCAAAATAATCATACATTGAAATGAAAATTAAAAAAAACAACTAGAAGTAATTTCAGACTCGTCTATTTTTCAAGTCAATTTTTAATTTGTGTAATTCAGTTAATATTGGTGTACATTCTTTTTATATCATACACGGCCACTTATAATATAATTAATATTGATGCTTTGTGTAGTACAAATAATAATTTCATGTGAACTATCATTAAATTATAATGTATATATGTTTAAAGTGACTTATACATTCATTGGGCTGGGTGTTATGTTAAATTATTTATAATCGTTATTTGTAATTTGTCATACATATGCCACTTTAATAACGTACATTCCTACTTTTTTACTATCTTACGTACTAAATGTTTGTAGTTATTGACTATTTATTTATATTTATTCATATAATATATAATTTATTCACCGCCAGATAAACTAGATGTCAAGTACGAAAGTTTTGTCACTGTATTAATGATATTTGAAACATTTCAAGCCTCCTTCTTTGCTAGCCTATGTGTAAATAAATACATTCTATTGTATTTGTTATAACAAATAGTACAATATAAGCGTACACACACCGTAAAAAAATGTTTAGTCTACCATAAGTTAACCATGAGTAGAATTCTGTACACTATATAAGGCAGGTCACAAAAAATAAATAAAAAACTTTTGAGAAATGAAATTAAAAACATTTATGGGGCATAATGGGCCTTTAAGAAGTGAACCATTGACATAGAATGTACTATATGAGTAAGTGTGTACTATAAGTCATTAAATATGAATGGAAACAAACACGCCAGGCATTTCTACATATATTTCATGTTGTACAGATACAGCATATTTCTATGTTTAACACTAGTACAACGTAAAGATACATTGTACATTATTTGAAACCGGCCAAAATATTATATTTCTCTTTATTATTTTACGTAAATTATATAATAAATGAAATCTACAAATTGTATTTATAAAGTTTTCCTTTATTTGATAAAAAAAGTCAACTGTTCAATATATAATTAGAATATATATGGCTAAATATTATATATAATAGGACTTCACTGGTGTACATTTGGTTTAATGTTATTATAAAAAATATTATATTTTCTGTAAGTCCCCCACATTCATCCTCACGTGTACAAAAGTTCATTTAGCGAAAATAACTAAAATGGCAGATATTTCTGTAATTTATTATCACACATTATAAAGCATTTTTGTTCTGTAATTGCTGTTACAATTTAAACATGTATTCTCATATTAATTATTTGTACTTTCTCTTTTTCTTTAATCTTGTTAAAATATCACAAAACCTGTGTAAACAAAATGACAAATACATTAAACACTTCCTAAATTATTTCCATAGCAACGTTTTTGTTGAAAGATTTCGAAAAGCATGTACACATTTGCAATCCAAAACAGGCGTATCATAGACAACAGCGGGATAACACCACGTGTGTGCACTCTAGCGTGTGTGTGTATTTGAAAACGAGGCTGGCATCTGCCAGAACGAGGCGGGTGGCCTACATCTGGTTCCTTACGCCTAATACTGATAGTAAGGTCTCCCAAATATGGGCATCGTTCATAGAGAGAGGCAAATTTTCTTAGAATTGAGATCACACGCTAATATAAACGATCTGAACCGTTGCTCTTTCGTCAGTATTTCTGCAAACGTTGAGCAGTAAACAGCCTGTACCTTCTCACATCCTTACGGATTAATAACTAATAAACAAATATGTGTGACGACGAAGTTGCCGCTCTTGTTGTAGACAATGGCTCCGGTATGTGCAAAGCCGGATTCGCCGGAGACGATGCCCCAAGAGCCGTCTTCCCTTCCATCGTCGGCCGCCCAAGACATCAGGTATGTGGAGTTTTAATAGAAGTGTTTCTTGAACATAAATGATTTAATGCCTTAGCATTATAAAATTTATATGATGTTAGAAATATTATAAGGGATAATGCTCAAAGCTTTCTTATTGTACTTTGATTTTGAGGACTTCCGGTGGGGATAGTTTGAGACTCGAACCTTACATGAAATATTTAGGGAACTTTGTTATTGTATTTGAGTAACAGGGAATTAAAAGAATTGATGCTGAAAAGGAACTTGCCTGTCAGCTAAATGCCCAGCAATCTTTGTATATATTTGTATAAATGCTAGATTATATAGATTGAGATGTAACAAAATAATATTATATGTTAGCTAAAGTTCGCTGTATTAACAGAATAGCTTTATTTCGCCGAGATATTCATTACAATTGTCGAGATTCCCATATTTTATAATTCATTATGATATCGTTTTTGTACATTTGTTCTAATGATGTTTAAACTAGTTTGAATATTGAATAATATCGCAAAATTATAGATAGATTTGTTTATTGTCATTATAGCAATTATTTAACAAAATTCGTCAGAAAATATCTGTGTTCAGCTCTAAAAATAAATCATTTAGTTACAAAGAGGGAAATAAGTGTTTTTAAAACAAAGAAATCAAATCATACCGAAAAAAAAGGAAATTAATAGAATATGATTGTGAGAAAAGCGCAGCACGTGGTTTATCAAAAAATGGATTCTTATTAATATATAATTTAGGCGGAAATGATTCAGTTTGTTTTGTATGAGGTTGTAATTAAAAGGATTAATCTCATTATTTTTATCGTTACCAAAAAAGCTTGAGCCGAATAAATGCTTAGTAGCAGTATTTGATCATTTGAACACGCCGGTAACTGACCGCCATTTTGTTTCTCGTAGTAAATCACATGACGACGCCATATTGGATTTCCAAAAAAGGCAATGGTACGCGCCCCACTCGGTATGACTCACGTGTGTAAACTCTCCAAGTAGGCTTGGCTTATCAGCAAGAATAGAGATTTCGCTGATTGCCTGCTGTATGAATGAAATGTAAACTTGGCAACACAAAATTAGGTCGGAATGTTTGCTGCGCTACACATATTCCTGCGCGCGATCTTTAGATAAAAATAGATTGGCATAAAGTTACAAAATTGAGCGTCTGGGAATTTACACTTGAGATAAAAATTATTATGAGGAACACGTGGGGGTCGTTACAAAGCAATTCAAAACTAACAACTCCATGACTTTTATATCAAATTAGGAAATATTTTCTGAAATAAGATATAACCTGGAATAAAATATGATATATGATATACATTGTTTCTCGAAATATTTTTCATTGTTTGAATATCATTAAAGGCTCTGTTATAGTGTACCGATTTGAACCAATAGCTCATATTAAATATACAGTTTTGTTTTTCATGAAAAATGAAATTGATTTGAAAATATCTTTACGTATATCGATACAAGAATTTAATAATCAAACAGAAAGAATACATTTTAGAATTAAAAAAATATTTCTCATAGGCATTTTTGACCAATTACTAGATATGGAATGAAAACAAATATACATGCCTCTGACACATTACATATTCAGAAAGGAGCTTCTCCTCTGTATTTGGGAAATTAGTTTGTATATTAGATTTATTTCCGGGCATTTTTTTTTGCAACAAAAAACATTAAACATTCACACCGCACATTTACCATACAACAAGTTAATTTAAATTAACCAAGTTTAAGGAATATCTGTAGAGAACGTTAATGAAATGAGGATGATGATTCATAAAAGTTTTCTAACGAATTTATGATTTAGATGCGTAAACGAAATGAAATGATTTCCTCCACGATTTTATACGTACAATTTCCTCCAAAAGATTTCCTACACGATTTTTAGACGTATTTCGCAAAATCAGATATCTCACATGTATAAATCAGTAGTTTGATTCCTATTGCATTCGGTTTAAAATACGTACATTAATGTTTTATAAATCGTCCGTTAAAGATTTTCAACAATTTGAGAGAAAATTTAATACAGTTACGGGGTGTTATGGGCGTTATTTGTTACATTTTTTCCTCCTCTATCGGGGACTGTTTATTCAAGTTCTCCTCTTTCTTCTGTACAGGGTGTGATGGTTGGTATGGGTCAGAAGGACAGCTATGTAGGAGATGAAGCCCAGAGCAAGAGAGGTATCCTTACCTTGAAATACCCAATTGAGCACGGTATCGTCACCAACTGGGACGATATGGAGAAGATCTGGCATCACACATTCTACAATGAACTCCGTGTAGCCCCAGAAGAGCACCCAGTCTTGCTCACTGAGGCCCCACTCAACCCCAAAGCCAACAGGGAAAAGATGACCCAGATCATGTTTGAGACCTTCAACGCACCAGCCATGTACGTCGCCATCCAGGCCGTGCTCTCACTGTATGCTTCCGGTCGTACCACCGGTATCGTACTCGACTCCGGAGATGGTGTCACCCACACCGTCCCAATCTACGAAGGTGTGTATTTACGAAATATTTAACTTAAATAACTTTACAATGTTGTACAAATGATATAATTCAAATAAAATGAGCGCATATTTTTTACATATGAAGTTATAACCCACTGTTACCATTCGAATAGTAATTCTCATCCAATAGCTTAATGCTTTAAACTTAAAAATGATTAGGTAAATTTCAAACTTGAGTGTACTGTTATGCAAAATAAGTTTTTGCTTTAGATATCAAAAAAGCATTATTAACACACGTTCAATAAGATTATCTAAATTAGAGTTATATACAGACATGTACTTTCATGTTCTACCAGTACTCTAAGCGGGAGATAATAATTTCAAAGCCTTTAAGTCAGTAAAAACATACTATTAAGCGTTACAATACGTTACAAATGTTGATTGACACACAACTTTTTTTCTGCACGTGTTTCTCATGTTTTTGTTATCTTTGCTGTATTTCAGGTTACGCTCTTCCCCACGCCATCCTCCGTCTTGACTTGGCTGGTAGAGATCTTACTGATTACTTGATGAAGATCCTCACTGAACGTGGTTACTCATTCACAACCACCGCTGAACGTGAAATTGTCAGAGATATCAAGGAGAAGCTTTGCTATGTTGCTCTTGACTTCGAGCAGGAAATGGCCACCGCCGCTTCTTCATCCTCCCTCGAGAAGAGCTACGAGCTTCCCGACGGACAGGTCATCACCATCGGTAACGAGAGATTCCGTTGCCCAGAATCCCTTTTCCAGCCATCCTTCTTGGGTATGGAATCTGCTGGTATCCATGAAACCACATACAACAGCATCATGAAGTGTGACGTCGACATCCGTAAGGATCTCTACGCCAACACCGTCTTGTCTGGTGGCACCACCATGTTCCCAGGTATTGCCGACAGAATGCAGAAGGAAATTACCGCCCTTGCTCCATCAACCATGAAGATCAAAATCATTGCTCCACCAGAGAGGAAATACTCCGTCTGGATCGGTGGCTCCATCCTTGCTTCCCTCTCCACCTTCCAACAGATGTGGATCTCCAAACAGGAATACGATGAATCCGGCCCATCCATTGTCCACAGGAAATGCTTCTAAGCCATTCGACAAAATAGACACTTTAATAAATTTGACAAACAGGACAGTGCCGAGCAAAAAATTAAAACTTTATTTAAATTCGCAACATTCTGTTTTTATTATTCATTCGTATTTGAAGTTATTTATTTTTAAAATTTATTTTATCGTGATGGAAACACTTTGCTTTATTTCTTCAATTGCCCTATTTCGAACTGGACTTGTTAAGCTTTCTAGGGCGCATGCGCGAGTCACGTGATATCAAACTTTGAATTTTTTGAGATAAAACAGGAATAAAGAAAGCAAAGTGACTTCCGACTTTTGATATTTCTTACTGGATACTACCTTTCGCAAACTCCCCTAATGTGCCTTCTAAAGTGAAGAAAAAGGGCGGTAATTCGTATTTATACATATCCAATTATGCTATTTGTTGTGGTATAATTAGGAAGGTATCCACTTATACTGTTATTCATGATTCTTGAATCATATTTTAAATGATGAAAGATCATGCCCATGTTTATCGTTTATTGTATTGTGAGAAATAGACCGGATTCCGCGGATAAATAAATGTTTAAATTTGTACAAGATGTTAGTCATTCCTGATTGAAAATATCTTAGCATAAATAAATCCAAACTGATGTATTGAAGTTATTACCTGGCCCACAGTGCATTTTTTAAACACCATCAAAGAAACCAACACTGTGCAAAGGGAAATAACTTCAATATTTGAAAAGTTTTGAAATTTCGATATTTTGTTTCAAAGATGCAGTGTACTAAAGTTACTTCCCTTTGTCGAAATCTTAAAATCATTTGTAAAAGATAATTCGATTTCATTTCAAAACAAACATTAACAAAACGACAATGGCATAAAACATTTTTAATGCTGTATCTTTGAAACAAATTGTCTGTCCCATAATAATTTATTTCCCAAATATTTCTTCGTTAAAAAGCAAACAAATAGTCTGATTTTATATCGAATGTACATATAATGTGTAAGCCATTTGAAAATTAAACAGCGATATTCACCAGCTTCATTGAAATGAAGTGGAAGACCACACCCCCAACCGACCACCCACCCTCCCAAAAAGGGGAAGGCCATGCTCACCCAAATTCATAACAAAAGCCTATGAAAACATAAATAAAATTAAAATTTAAGTCAAGTTAACAGCCCATTCTAGTATTCACTATGTATCTTTTCTATGATCAAAAAGTAAGCTTTTTTACCACCCTGACACTAAAGAACAAGCATAACACTGCGAGAGAAAAAACCCCAAAAAACAACAACAACGAAAAGCAACAACAACAAAAAAAGCAATAACATTTTAATTAAACATAAGTATCGCGGTTCAATTGTAGTAAAGATTGATGCTTATTGGGACCAAGTCCGATTTTTGGACCTTACCTACAGGGTAATATACTGTCGCATCATAATTCCGTGGTACAATTACATATCAACAGTTAATAGTCATCTTTATTTTTTGGTACATCTATACCTAGCCATGTCTGAAAGTGGTGAAATTCTCTTTGGCATTTATCAAATATCTCAATGGTTGTGTAACAAAAACAATTGTCTTAAAAAGTATGTAAACTAAAAGTAAAATGGTGAAATAATTTACTTTGCTCTTAATCTGAGTAAAATAATAAGCTTTCTCATTCGTATATGAAACATTTCGATAAAAATACAATAAAAAGTAAGAGTTAAACTAATGGCACGTGCATGAAGTCAAGGAGGCACCTGAGATGTCTCAACACTAAAGCAGACGACAAACAATCTTATTTATCGCAGGCGTCTCTTACCATGATAAATGATCAATAGTTAAAAGCTTTAGCTGACTTAACGAATTACATCTAAAAAGGAAAATGAAAACGCACTAAAGAGATGAAAGAATAAATTGAAAAATTTGAAAAATCATGAAATCATGGATCAAAATAGAAAGAAAATACTTTTGTAATTGTCATGAAAAAGACTTGAATTTACGATTCAGTTTTACAGAATAACAATATCACGAATTTTAACATTACAAAAACGGCAAAAAGCACATCAACAGGAACATAGGAGGTTAAATAAAAAGTAATTAAAACCAGAGACATAGATAACATGTTTTCGAAACAAAGTGATTTTTAATATGAATAAGGAATTAAATTGAAAAATACATTCTCTTGTCAAAACAGAATAAAATTTGAGCCGCGTCACGACAAAACCAACATAATGGACTTGCGACCAGCATTGATCCAGACCAGCCTGCGCACCCTATAACAAGAAGAGAAACTGATAGCGAACAGCATGGATTCTGATCAGACTGCGCGGATGCGCAGGCTGGTCTGGATCCATGCTGGTCGCAAACCAATTATGTTGGTATATTGGTTACATGACACAGCTCAAATGTTTGAAGAATACTGTCAAAAATAAGAACAGCAAATTGTCAACTAAGGTAATTTGAGTCTACATTTCATTAATGTAATGGCAAGAGGTGAACACATTTATTATGTCAATAATATTGAAAGCAACGTGGCGTTTAAAATACAAAAGTGACAAAATTACATCCGCGTTTATGAAAAAAAAAATGACGGCTAAATATCCAAACAAAATACACGCTTTCCTAAATCTAAATATTTCTATTTTGTCCTTCAAAATATCAAATAAGTTAACGGGTATACTTAAAATATTTACCGATACTAAGTAGGTTTCAATACTTTATCTGCCATGAACCATGATTGTAAATCAAAATATAATTATATAAGTAGCATAACCTCGATTTAATGTAAAATATGTAAAAAAATACTGCCTTTAGTATTTTGATTCTAATTATTTACGCAAAAGGTTTTATTTTTCTAAAGAAAAAAGTTGAACGTCAAGGTTTCAATGTCTGTATAACGCTTAAAAATAATAAACAAGTAACTAATATACAAAGGAAAGAAAGAAAAGAAAAAGAGAACACGAGCACTTATTAATTTGCGTTACATATAGCACGCTAAAATACACGTGCCGGATGATCTTACTTTACACTGGTCGCATGGTTGAATAAATTCAGTCGCCGCCAGCCGTGAAAATGCTAAACCTTTGCCAAGACTTAGTGCCGGAACTTTGTTACGTTCTAATGTAAGTGCCGATGTCTTTGTTATCATATAAAATGTTTGTAACTTGGCATAAACCGTGCAATGTTATAGGACACCGCTTTCGAAGGCAATATTATATGAGCCGCGTCACGACAAAACCAACATAGTGCGTTTGCGACCAGCATGGATCCATGATGTTCGCCGTCAGTTTCTCCACTTGTAATAGAGTTGGTAAGCATCCTGATCAGATCCCACTATGTTGGTTTTGTCGTGACGCGGCTCATATAAGTTTTTATTAACCATTACCGTGCTGGAACTGAAATTGATCAACCTTTGCCACCAGTATCGAGCCCCCCCCCCCAGGCCAGCCTACACATCCGTGAAGACTGACCAGGATCATCTTGCCATCCCCAATATGGTAATAGGTAGTTCCTAAAAGGGAAGCTGAATAAGACTATAAACATTGTGACAGGCTAAGGGTTACAAAACTGTAACATATACCATGGAGATTCGGGATTGTATGAATATAGGACCAATGTATATTGACCTGGTATCATGGACTTAGCTGAAGTACATCAGACACTCTAACGGTTTCGAAAACTGTTTAAATTTAGACACGTGACTTGAGCATGTGCTCTAGAAAGCTTAACAAGTCTTGTCGAAAATCTTGGATGTTGTTGGGGAATGGGTCGGTGTTTGGGCCTTTCTGAAAATGCTTGCAAAATATACTATATACTACTATATATACAATGACTATAGCTCGTTAAAACATCGCTTATAGCCTATTAGGCCTATATTGCTATATTCATATGAATATTGAATTATAACATAACCTCTAAGTATTTTTGTCCTCAAACATGCGATTCGTACTGTTGTTTAAAAAGAGGACTTTTCGAAAAAAAAATGTTGCCCTTTTTTCTACCAGTATTATTTGTTCGATTATTATTATGATGATTGTTATTTTCATTGTTATTAATAATTGAATCTTTTTCAGCAGTAATTGACCATAAAATGTTTGCATTTCAAATCTAGACCCAAGATGAATACACCTTAAAAGGTTCACTTATAATTCACTATATAGATATAAATGTAGGTATAAATAAAACAATACAACCCCTGGAAAGCGACCCTCCGTAGAACAATCACCTCTATACAGTAACACTATCATTTGTTTTTTCCCAAAGAAAGACTTCACAATAATTTTAATAATTATAAGTAGAACAATATCTCTCAACAGCAACCGAAATCTTTGTTTACAAATGATGCTGCTGTGTCATCAACAACATTTTTCATGGTTTTGTTTTACGTTGCACCAACACAGTAAATGTCATATGGCAACTTTCAAGGTTTACTTGTGGAGGAAAACCTCAGGTCCTCTCTGTACATTATTTTAGGCACAAACGGACACCTGAGCAAAACCCCCGACGTTCCGTAAGCTAGCTGGATAGCTTTCTTACATGTACAATCCGACGATGGTTGAAAGCGCGCGACGACAAAATCAAATTGGTTTATAATGTTAATTTATGAGCTCAAATTTGTGTACGTTGTTTCTTAATAATCTGTTTTGGGTTTGGTTGCACACTACAAATACACAGGATTAGATTTATCAACATTTATCTTACTTTTTTAAACTTAGAGATTTACACTTAATACCTTAACTTGAAATGTAAGTTTTATACGTTATCAATATCAAATAACAATTTTCATATGTCACGTTCTTTGTAGAGGAGTAACACGGCCCGTGCCAAGATATGTACGATTTATATGCAAATATTTGGTAGCGAGTTTCAACGATTTTGTAATTGATGAAATCGTTAGTCTCTGCGGGGTATCATACTTAAATCAACAAAAAAGTAAGAAAAAAGATTTAACATATTGTCCCGATGTTTATTTATTTTGATACCCCGATTCATGAACCGGTTAAAGCTGTGAATGATATCTTAAATGATTAAAGAATATCCCTGCTTACATCTTTAATTCGTGAAACTATCCAAAACTTAAGAGATTCTTTTTTTACTTTTAAAGGCCCACCAAGCGCTAAAAATGCTATTATTTCTATTTTTGAAGTAAAGGATGATGATGATGATGATGCTGCTGCTGTTGTTGTTGTTGTTGTTGTTGTTGATGATGATGATGATGATGATGATGATGATGATGAGGATGATGATGATGATGATGATGATGATAATGTCCAAATAGAATAAAGCTAAGATTTCTTAAGCGCCTTTTGATTTATTCGTTTTTAAGTACAGTTATAATATTTATAATTAGTTTGTATGAAAGTCAAAATACCATTTTGTTTACATTTTACGACATTTTAGAAAAAACAATTTCACAATTAGCAATACTAACTTCCGAGGGTAGGCATCTAATATGCTATAAATCCATTATTAAAACATTACTAATTACATGCTTGATTTTTCAAAAAGAAATAAAATCTATTAATTACTAAAACAGAATGTGCCTTTAAGATTACAAGAAATTTAATCCCGCAAACACCGTGCATCAGTCTGATGTGTGATAAAATGTTGAATGACAGGCAAAATTTTTTTAATATAGTTTAATAGCATTTTCTTGGCGATGTTAAGACAGTGGGGACTCTCAAGATTTACTAGATAAGAGACATTTCTGCATCTCCATTTATTATTTTAGGTTCGAGCGGTCACCCCATTGGTTTCGTTGGACTTAAGTTGTTTTTTAAAAATCCTAGTACATGTAATTTAATCATATGAAACTATGGAGGTTCGAACCGGTTAGGTGCAAACGATTCTGAGGCACTTGAAGTAGAATTTCTCTTACACATATAACGAAATAGAAGATTAAACTGTAGATCATTTTAATAACAACTGTCAGATGAAATTTAATGCATACAATAAAAAATGATAATGTCAAATAATATTATAAAGCCTTTCTGTCTAAAGTATAAATGATGGATATTTGATGGTATGAAATAATCCGTACATTTTCTATCTCAGTATGTGGTCATTTCTTTTTTTCAACAATGAATCAGCAGGTATCTTAAGACGTATATTTTTAAGAATCGCTTTAAAGTCTTGATCGCCATCCTCGTGTAGGGATTTTTGTAAAGAAAATAGTCCGGCACGTTTGTTCTAATCGTCGATACCCTATTGAAGGTAGATTAAACAGTACAAAATGGGCTTTATCAAGCTTGATTTAAACTGATCAATTTTAATTACAGCGTACAATACCTTTGTCAACCCCTCTTTGTTGTAGCGTAACGTTAAATTTTGTTGGCCATAAATAACCATTTCACACATCTAAACGAAAAATTGATTCAAAAATTGATAATCTTTTCCGTAAATCTTCGCAATATGAGATAATGTAGTTTAGAGATAAATCGCAAATTCTAATCCGTAGTACATTATTACAGGCCATTTATCAACCGAACTATAGTCTACACAAAGCGACCATATTCTTACATTCAAATCGCTATAGATTCATATCAATATATAATGACAAATCTATAAGGTAAAAAATAAAACATTTTTTATTGTTAGTATATTGGATTACCGTAAAGAAGTTGTCAAATTGCGACAATATGATACACGTCTTCAAAAAATAAGGAATTATTCAGGAGTGAACTTTATATAAGGTCTGTACATTTTCTTTTTCCTTCTTTACCATTTCACTAAAATTATGTTATAATATATATTTAAATATATAATTTTAATTATTATTTTATACATTACATGTATATATTTCATAAGATTTGATTTGCTTTGCAAACGCCTCTTTAGCGTTTCGAACATAGTGCTTCCTATAATATTTATTTCCATAGGAAAATCAAGCATGAATTTTATAACGTTAAAAGAATGGTTTTAGAGCATTTTAGATGCTTGTTTTCTGTAGAAAGTAGTGAAATGTTTTGTTATAAAAGTAACAAATTGAAAAAAGTAGTATTTTGACTTCCATACAGAATACTTTATCGCTATAATTGTACTACTTGCCAATGACCAACGGAAGTAAAATGTTATTCAAGAATTTGATCGATGAGTAACTTTTTTGGAAACTATAAAAGAAACAAGAATGAGACAAAAATAAAAATCATTTCTGAGGCATTCTGGGCCTTAAACAAAGAATAAACAGTATTGTATTTGTGTTGTCTGTTTTGTTTTTGATACCTTTCTAATGCTGAATGTTTTATGATAAAGAATACCCTCTAATCATAGAAGTCGTGAATTCCAAATCTTAAAATTCTTTTTTTTAATTTTAAAACAACTAATAATAATCTATGTTTTTAAGTAAAGCATGCATGTCGGCTATTGCCGTTGTCAGTGAAAATGGTCTTTATTTTAAAAAATAATGCAGTATTTTGAATGAGCACTTTTTTTATATCGTAAGACAAAGCATGAGAGTTTAGATTCAAAAAATAATCATTTCTAGCTCTTAAATGAATTCAAACATGGTTTTTTTGTTTACATAAAAGATTGAGTTAACGACATAAATATATACGTTGTTTTTAAAAATTAAATAATTTGAAAAGCATAGTAATATCTTTAAGTTAACGACATAATAAAATATACGGGTTAATACACTTTGTATAAGCATGCGCAGGAAGACGTTCTATTAAAATGTCAATTAACTTTCTTTTTTATATAAGTTATGTACGAAATGTATAAAGTGACATACATGTGTTCAAAGTTTTTCATCAACAGAAATGTATTGCGAAAATGCATAAAACAACGCATGAAATACAATACAAATTTTGTATGAAACTGCAATACAAATTTTGTATGAACTGCAATACAAAGTTTGCATGGAACTGCAATACATATTCTTTATGAACTGAAATGCACGGGTAAAACTTATTTCTGTCCTATATAGCTGCAGACAAGATTTTCAAGAGTGGTCAATATCAGTTTCAAACTTTCTTAACAAGTATACTTTGATAATAATTAGAAATATCAATTACATAAAAATAATAATAAATAACTTTGTTATTATAATTGGCCTATATGCTTTCCCTATGGCGACCATTTAATATTTTATGACATACAATATTGTGAACCCCGACCTTCATTGTTAATTTAGGGAGGTCAAACGTGATGTCACTTCAGTTTCTCCTGGATACGATCTTACCACACAAACAATGTGTTGAATATCCTAAAGTTTTATGTATAAATTGGAGATGTAAGATATTCAAAATAATGAGTCTATGTATCTAGAAGTAAAGTATTACTATAATCGTCTGGAGATATATGTATATGTATATATAGCTATTTATCAAATGAGCCGCGTCATGACAAAACCAACATAATGTGTTTGCGACCAGCATGGATCCAGACCAGCCTGCGCATCCGCGCAGTCTGATCAGGATCCATACTATTCGCGAACAGTTTCTCTTATTACTTAATACTTATAAATGAAATATTGAGAACTATTGATAAAACGAAATGCGTATTTTCATTTCCCATATTTTCACTGCAATGAAGCATATTTTTCGTATTTTCACTGCAGCGAAATATATTTTCCGTATTTTCACTGGTGATTTGACGGACTACTTTCTGCTAAATTCAGCAAATATACAAAATTTAAGGGAAAATCTTTCAAACTGTGGTGTCAAAAAAAGAAAAGAATGAAAAAAAGAAAACAAAAGAGGAAAATGTATATTATAAACAGAAAATTCATGCTATGAAAATTATTATATTTCACTCGTTGCTACTGCAAATCACGAAATATTTATTTTCATACCAATCGTTGAAAATAAATCTTATAATTTACGTCACTCTGAATATATTTGTATGTATAATAAATGACGATGAAGAAGGCGGAACGATCGAAAGCTACGGCGAATTCAAACTACAGTTTTTAATTATTTATTTCTATTATATAAATCAGTTACACAATAGTGACTTAAAGCTACAAGTTAAAAATAAATATTCAACAGGTGATAAAGAAATCAAATTCAACGTTTTATAATACGATTTTAAAATTCAATGTAATCTTATTGTTACCCGTTTAAAATAGCATTACATTACAAGTGTGTATAACGTTACGTCGGGTGTGTCATTTAAGGTACTTGATAAACTGATAAAATGGCTGAATACAAAAATAATGGATCAAAGTTCATAACAATAAATATTGTATTTGTTCGTGCTTCTTTATTGGCGTTCATACTATTTAGGTTTTGATAAAGCGGTTGTCTTTGGGTATTTCTGTAGTATTTACGATGTTAAAATTGTTAAGCGAATTATTAAGTAATTAGAAAATAAATAAATAAATAAATAAATAAATAAATAAATAAATAAATAAATAAATAAAAATGATTAATTAATTAATTAATTTTAATTTTTATAAATAAATAAATTAATAAATAAATAAATTTCTATATAAATGAATTAAATTAAATGAATGAATGAATGAATAAATAAATGAACAACTCAACAAATAAATAAATGATGATAATGATTATGATGATAAAAGAGTAAAACAAATGATATTTAAACAATGAAACACTATTGAAAAGGAGTTGAAAAATATCAAGAAGAAATAACAAAGACCAATCTCCAGAAGCTGATGGGATAAAGGTTTTATATATCAGTGAATCAGTTTGCCGCTGGGAGATTCCACGTAACTACAAGAAGAAAGTTTAAAACAAGCCGCATGAGTTATCTTTCTTAAGTCAACGAATTGAGCAGTGAGCACCAACGACTTTTTTCATGAATAAATGAATTTAAGGCACTATATTGCTCTCGTAAATAACGTCATGAAATCTGCGTCACTTTCCGAGCGTAATAAGCTTCTGTATTATAAAGAGCAAAACATTTTCAATGGGACGCTTTGTATTATAGGACGCGACTTAGTTGGTAGCATGTCTTTTAGGTTGGATAATCTTATCGTATTACCCCTCTTAAAATGTAGGATAAAACTAAAGCTAAAACTAAATTTTATTTTAGAAGAGGAATTAAAAGTGATTAATATCACTCTTAAAATAATATTTCTCACGTCATTATTTAATGAATACATTTTATATCAATGTAAGAGTATGATAAAACATGTCACAATTTAATTGCAGTTTGAATAGGTCCCAAAAATTCTTTAAAGGGACTCAACTGCGTATTTTTTCATGACGGGGTAAAAAAGCTAAAATATACGATTTTCAAATGAATAATGTATATATTCTTTAATTATCTTTTGCATCTATTTCTGTTTTAATGGTACAAGTTGATTTTTGCTAGAAATTAAAATTTTTGCTTTTAGGCTATTGGTGTTCCTTTAATATTCAACAACAGATTCCAAAGTGCAAAAATATGGTCAAAGCCTTATATTGTGCTTATGACCATATAGGAGGGACAATTTCATATTTTCCATTTTCATATATTTCACATTTTCGACAAGTTTGACAGTACGTCTTTCCAAAAGTTTATTGAACAATAATTGGACAATAAGATAAACAGTATATTCGCACAGTTGGTCTTTTAAAAAAGGTTTTTGTGCATTATAAATGATCAAAACGAATATTCAAATTTAGAGGTGGTCTTTAACACTGGTCTACCTTATCATAAAATTAACACTGGTTTTACCGTATCATAAAATTAACACTGATTTACCGTATCATAAAATTAACACTGATTTACCGTATCATAAAATTAACACTGATTTACCGAATCATAAAATTAACACTGGTTTTACCGTATCATAAAATTAACACTGGTTTACCGTATCATTAAATTAACACTGGTTTACCGTATCATAAAATTAACACTGATTTACCGTATCATAAAATTAACACTGGTTTACCGTATCATAAAATTAACACTGGTTTACCGTATCATAAAATTAACACTGGTTAACCGTATCATAAAATTAACACTGAATTTACCGTATCATAAAATTAACACTGTTTTGTATCATAAAATTAACACTGGTTTAACCGTATCATAAAATTAACACTGAGTTTACCGTATCATAAAATTAACACTGAATTTACCGTATCATAAAATTAACACTGGTTTGTATCATAAAATTAACACTGGTTTTACCGTATCATAAAATTAACACTGAGTTTACCGTATCATAAAATTAACACTGGTTTACCGTATCATAAAATTAACACTGAGTTTACTGTATCATAAAATTTACACTGGTTTACCGTATCATAAAATTACACAGAGTTTACCGTATCAAAAAAATAACACTGAGTTTACCGTATCATAAAATTAACACTGGTGTACCGTATCATAAAATTAACACTGATTTACCGTATCATAAAATTAACACTGGTTTTACCGTATCATAAAATTAACACTGGTTTACCGTATCATAAAATTAACACTGGTTTTACCGTATCATAAAATTAACACTGGTTTACCGTATCATAAAATTAACACTGGTTTACCGTATCATAAAATTAACACTGGTTTACCGTATCATAAAATTAACACTGGTTTACCGTATCATAAAATTAACACTGGTTTACCGTATCATAAAATTAACACTGGTTTACCGTATCATAAAATTAACACTGGTTTACCGTATCATAAAATTAACACTGGTTTTACCGTATCATAAAATTAACACTGGTTTACCGTATCATAAATTTAACACTGGTTTACCGTAACATAAAATTAACACTGGTTTTACTGTATCATAAAATTAACACTGGTTTTACTGTATCATAAAATTAACACTGGTTTTACCGTATCATAAAATTAACACTGGTTTTACCGTATCATTAAAGTAACACTGGTTTACCGTATCATAAAATTAACACTGGTTTTACCGTATTATAAAAGTAACACTGGTTTACCGTATCATAAAATTAACACTGATTTTACCGTATCATAAAATTAACACTGGTTTTACCGTATCATAAAATTAACACTGGTTTTACCGTATCATAAAATTAACACTGGTTTTACCGTATCATAAAATTAAGAAATATGTTAAACAAGTTTTCTCATTAATAACACATATTTTCAAAGAGGAGAGATTTATCAGCGCGGGGGCAATAAAGGACCGATCTATCATTTTACGAAGAGTAATAACCGTAATTGATTCAGTACAGAATAGAACGTAAACACGTAATTAAATATTTCATTCTTAAAGCTCTGACCGTGTCAAAACTAAATTGAATATAACGTAATTTGATAGCTTTTGAACTGCCTAACGTTTCTAAAATAGATATTTAATGTATTATTATTACTTATTATCTATGCTGAATAAGTGTTCAGTTGTATGGATAATTTATGGAAAGAGCATTTTTAAATTAAGTTGTAAAAATAAATTATGGAATTTTATATGTTATTGGTAAATTTTAATATATTTATTTTGCGAAATTAAGTCAAATAAGTTTTCTCATAGAAATGATATAATCCAAAAATTGTGTTTTTTCATTTATTGAAAAGTACTGTAATAAAATTAAAGATTTCTTTAATGTGCTGAAGCTTGTATTTGTGACAATGTAAATTCAATGTACCTGTCAACAAGACAATTTACGCGTACAAATAATTCAATTTGTTTAATTAATGGAAGGAAGTTAGTACAAATTGACGTGATTTCTCTCCTGTAATGTTTTAGTTTTCTTATCAAGCTAACATAATTGTTATATTTTCTCTCTAATTACTGCGGAGTCTTAAATCTTTAACTATTAAAAATAAGTGAAAGCTTGGAGTACGATACAGCACCATTTTCTAAGGATATTCTAACATCGAGACAAAAGACCTAACTACATATTGTAGGTTTCAGTACGTAAGACACCGTGGATTTTGATGGCATATAAATTATTTACCTCTTAACATCAAATTGTACATAATAAAGGATATGGATAAATGTATTAAACAAATGTGCGGAACAAACGTGCAAATATCATTAAAATGATAAAACTATCAAACTATCATTTCACTGATTCACTGACAACCTTATAATGTCTGGTTTAAAACCTTTTTTTGTGGATGGGGGTGTAGTTGGGGGCATATTGTGAAGGTTATTATGGCAACTTTCTAGCTTTAGTGACCCCTTCATACATTATTTCAGGAATGAATTTTCTCACATGAAATAAATTCAAATAATAGAAAGTCTCTGACGTAATTCGAGCCAACAGCGCAGCGAGCAGCAACTGGGTTTAAGCCAAAGACCGTCACCACTTAGCCGCTTACACCCAGCATTTAAAAGATAAACATTATCAAATTTACTTCTTTTTCTTACAGGAACTTGTTTTGAAAACAACGATTAAAGGCAACTTCTAGAATACTGGAGAATTAGGTTGGTTTCAAAATGAATTAGACAGCGAGCAACAAGTAAAATGGATACGGGACGAGTTGGAGCATGCCATAAACTTGAAAACAAGAGAAGAAAATTCCTTATTGTTATAAATGACGTTGTCAAGAATAAATATGATGTGTACGCGGAATATCTTGATCACGCACACTCAGAAATTGAGCATAATTTTGAGAAATCAAAAATGTTTGTACGACGCGCATTAGTAAGACAGAAAGTGCTCCAAAAATGCATGAAAATGCGGAGAAGAAACGTCGAGGAAAATAGAACAGTATTTGGACGGTATGGAGGAAAACCTATCGAAGCATTCGGTAAAGACATCGAAAGCTTTATCGCTTATAACCATCCGAAAATGAGACGAAAACGATATTTACAGAAACTATTGCACGAAAGTTTAGATAAAGGTGCCATACTTAAACCCAACGTTGTTGAAGATCGAGTTGCAGGATGGATGGAAAGATCGTATACAAAATACAAATTGAGGAAAGCTAAACGAGAGAAAAACAAACTTAGAGCCAATAAAAGAAAAGAAA